TAATACGCCAACAAAAGGCCTGCAAAACACCCCCTGGGAGAGAAGGGTGTAGGAAGGAATGTCTAAGCAAAACAGCAAGAAGAAGGAGAAATAGAAGGGGAGACGGGAAACATGGAATTGGGCCCTTTCCTGGGAACATAAGACAACTGCCTCCCATCTTTTCCTGCATTTTTATGTCTTCTTCCAGATATGTGGGAAGCTCCCAGTTCTGGCTCTGTCTAAGGAAACCACTCAGCTTAAACCTGTAGCATTGCTTAAAAAAAATGATAATAAAGTAATAATAAGAACAACACGCTCCCACAAAGCCTAATAGCTGCTCAGGACTCTTTCCCCGAGCATCCCTCCATCGTGGAGCACGGAACCGCAGCCCGGAGGCTGAGGACCAGCCGGGCTCCTTTGCCAGGGCTGGAAAAATCCCGCGTCCGTCGCGGCAGGCGGCCGAGCGCTCCCGCTCCCCGCGCGGCGCTGATTGCAAGAGCCCTGCCCGCCGCTGATTAGCGCTGATGGGCCTGCTCTTACCGCAGCCCCTCCAGGCCAGACCCTCCGTTATTACAGGTCTGGCTTGTTTTTTCCTTTCTTTTTTTTTTTTCTTTTTTAATAATAAATAAAAGGTTTGTTTTTTGGCTGCTTTCGCAGCTCAGCTAGCGCTGTTATTTTTCGCTTGCGCTCCTGGCCGCCCTGTCTGGATGCGCTGATGGGTTTTGGTGCTTGCCAGGCTCCAGCACAACCAGGCTCGGCGGGTAGCGTTAACTTCTGGTCCCCGGGTGAAAAATAGCCGGGCAAAAAACATAAGCCTGCCCTAATGCCCTAATGTAGCTTTGATTAAAAAGCACTGATTACATCAACCCTCCATGAGGGGACAAGCTGGAGCCCCAGCTCTGCTTCAAGGGCTGCTCAGCCCCAAGTTTCCCTTCTACCAAACTTCTCCCCAAACCCCAACTCTCTTTTTTTTTTATTATTATTATTTTTTTTTTTTATTTTTCTCCCTTTTTTTTCCCTCCCCACTGCGGTTTGTCAATAGGGAGTTTAGATCCGCGGCGCGGAAAGAAATGAGAGCGGGTAATTGCCGGGCGAAAATGACAGCACAGCGATTTGGGCAGGCGAAAAGGGGAGCCGCCAGGAATGCCAAGAGGCGGCCGCCGGCGGCGAATCGATACCTCCCCCGAGGGGGGATTATTAGGGCCAGCAAAGGGGCTCGAAAGATCCATAAGCGCCTGATGAGCGACTATTTCCAAACAACTCGGCCCTGAATGAGAAGCATCTCCGGGTACCGGGGCTGCTGCATTCCCGGCCACATCCCGGGCACATCTCGGGAGGGAAAAAGAGCCCCACGAACCCCTTTGCTTATAGAGCCCGGCAAAYACCGCGCTCCCCTTCTCCTCCATGCCATCCGTCAGGCTCGGGGAAGGATTTGCAGCGCGGCTTTTGTTTTGTTTATTACTTCTAATGACTTTCTCATTATCCTTTCGCTGTGAAACATAAACGATGGTTATGGGAGAAATCATATTATTTGGATGACTTTATTAAATTAGAGAGCAAATCTGTGCGTATTTCTGGCTCAGGATAAATGCTTGAACTTTGAGAGGCCAGCATTCATTCTCAGACAGAGGCAGCTTTTTTGGGGGAAGCTCTGGAAGCGGCGGCTCTACTCGCCCTCGGCTGCCAGGGAGATGTATGGGGGCACGTCTCAATTTCCAACTCTTCCAGTCCTGTAACCAAATCACCAAGCCAAGCCCCTGCTTATCCTCGCATTTATGAGAGACTTGGGACATAACGGGAAAATAAAGTTAATTTATTTTAAAAACTCCTAAAAAACGCACACGGTCCCTCTAACGCATTTCCTCTCGCTGCTYGCCCATCCATAGGCGGCAATGAGGGAACCTGAGCCAGGACACAGCAGAAGATGAAAGGGATGGAGAAGATCATCTCCTGCCATGCCTCTCCCAGGAATGCGGAAAGGGAGAAGGGGAAGCACCAGCGCTCCCCAGGAGGCCAAGCCCGTGAGTTCGCTCCCTCATGCGAACCAAAACTTCCATTGCCGCTTAAAAAGGTTTTTGACAGGTCTTCATTTGCAACCTGCAGACACACGCAGCTTTCACGCTCCACGGGCTCCACAGCAGAGTGGGCTCCAACCCAGCTCACCGCATAACCTGGGCACAGCGTTCTCCCCTCTCCTCCATTCTGCATTAAGGCCAGTTTCTCCTTCCCAACCCGTGGAGTTCCCAGCTTTTGCATTGGATCATCCCGAAAGCGGGGCGAGCAGCCCGCCTCCGGCAAAGACCSGTCCTGCCACCGAGCCCGAGGAATCCTCTGGAAAGGAAACCTGCAGCAGAGAGATAAGCAGCATCTCCCCACGCTCATCAGCATGCAGGGAAAAGACCCAAACAAATATTAATGAGGCSCGTTCGAGCGCGCCGGCTCCGGCGATCAATAAGGGGCACGCGGGGACCAGGAGCGGGGGGTCTCCTGCAGCCCCCCTCCCGCACGCGAGCCCGGGCGAGATGGTTTTCAGCTCAATTACCCTTCGCATTGCCATTCCGCAGCGCTCCGGCGAGGCTTTTTAAACCCAAAGCGGGGAGCRCACGGGCGCGCGAGCCGGCCGCGAGCGCACACGTGCAGAACGGGCGGCCAACAGCAGCCCGACCTGGAAAAAACCTGGCGTCTCCAGCCAGCTCCGGGCCAGCTCTTGGAGCCATCGGATCGGTGCAAATCCCTCACGCTGAGAATTGCAGAGCAAAGCCCTGGCCGGAGCGAGCTGCAAAGCGCAGCCGCTGCCTTGCACCCAAGCAGCCCAAGAAAACCCCATTTTCAACCTGCCTGACACAGAGCGCTACATCTTTCCCGGCTCAAATTCCTCCCGTTTGTAATGCAAATGGGCTTGAAACCAATACAAACGGTTCGGCTGGCACATAAATATTTCAAGAATAAAACAGGCCGTATCGGTTTAGATCATCAAAGCGCGCGGCCGRCGCTAGGAAGTTTCCTAGCGCGCCTCGATTGCGGCTGCACCGCTGGAAAAACAAAACCCAAACAGCCCCGGAGCCGCTGATGCTCCGAATAGCCAAGTGTGTTGTCACCCGGGTAAGAAACAGAGCCYGAGCGGATGCGGTTTTGGTGCCGCTGCCCCAGCACGGTGCGGTGGGGACTGCGGCATCCGTGCGCTGCCGGGGAAATGACTGTTATCTCCAGGCCACTTTCCGCATTATTTCCGCGCCATTTGGGCTTTTCCGCCCCAGTAGCTTCTGCTGCGTCTCTCATCTCGCTCCTCGGGCAGGTGTTTTTTTTTTTTTTTTTTTTCCCCTTCTTTTTCGGAGGAGCCGGGCGCACGTTTTGCCTGCGGGCAGCGGCGCGCGGCAGCTGGTGCCCGGCGCGCTGCCCCAGCACGGTGCGGTGGGGACTGCGGCATCCGTGCGCTGCCGGGGAAATGACTGTTATCTCCAGGCCACTTTCCGCATTATTTCCGCGCCATTTGGGCTTTTCCGCCCCAGTAGCTTCTGCTGCGTCTCTCATCTCGCTCCTCGGGCAGGTGTTTTTTTTTTTTTTTTGTTCCCCTTCTTTTTTCGGAGGAGCCGGGCGCACGTTTTGCCTGCGGGCAGCGGCGCGCGGCAGCTGGTGCCCGGCGCGCTTCCAAGCGCCGGCTCTGCCTCCAGGAGCATCCCGGGGAACGGGACGGGCGCCCGAGGCGCCCGCGAGCGTCCCGGTGCTTAACAGCCTGTTTACGTTTCGCGTGCAGGGCAAAGCGGATACGGGCATGAATATTGACAAAGCTGCTCCGGAGCCAGCCGGAGCCGGCGTGCCAGCGCACATGGCATCCCGGCGATATCCAGGGGCGCGCGCCGGAGCAAACCCCGTTTAGTGGCTTTGCATTATTCAGCTCCTTCCCCGCGGATGTGCCTGCCGGATCCAGAGTGCCAGGGCTAAGGGAGAAGGAAAAACACGTGCAGGGAGAGTGGCGGGAGGAGAAAATGAGAGGGGGAAAGAGCTCGCTGCGATTACAGGCCACTCCACAACGTAGCGGGCAACATCTTCCCTATCGCTTCTCTTATCGTCGCCCTCAATTTAAAGGCTCTTTAAATAAAGAAGGGGGAAAAAAATAAGGGAGAGAAGGGGGAGGTGTTGGGGTGCGTGCGTGAGCATCGCTAATGCGGCTGCTTCGTATGCACGGCGGCGGCCCCGCAGCCTGCGCGCCGGAGTTATACGAGCCCCCAAAGACTCCCGGGCAGCATGGCGGCGAAACGGGTCTAATTACCCACGTTATCACCATTAAGGCAAAACAGTAATTTTAATTACAGCTCGGGCTTTGGCGGGGGGACAATTTCTCCCGCTGCTCCCGGTCCTTGCTCAACACCTAGCGTGGTGCGGATGCGGGCGGCGCGAGCCGCCATCACGGTCCCCTCCTTTCCTCGTCCCCCTCCAATGCCGCTTGGCACCATTAAAAAGAAAATCCGCGTCGCACCATTAAAGAGAAAATCAGCCATAAAAGCATCACTCCAGCTACGCCAAAGTATTAAGCAGGAGACAAGCACGTGCCAACAGGTTCATAACTGCTCCTCGCCCCCCTTAAATGCCTTTATTGCCCTTCCTTGGCCAAGCTGCCCTCGCCACCATCCTCATGAGTGCAGAGCCCCCCACGACCCATGGCCCTGGCCCAAGCAGCTCGCACCCACGAGCCAAGCAGAGCAGGGAAAAGGCTGGCATGGACGTTTCGGAGCAGCGCTGTTTCTAAAGGTCAGCTCRTGCCGTGTCCCGTTTATTTATGCCCACTTTGACTTCCCGCAGGCGCCCCGTGCCAGCGGCGAGCTCCAAATAGCCTTTCGGCTGCCGCTCCATTAGCCCGCACGGCGGCAAATTGATACCCCCATTTATCTCAAAATTAAGAAGAGAAAAACCCTCGTTAGCTGCCAATTTGGCGCCGGGGCCACGCAAAAAGTGCGCTCCCGGCTAGCTCCCGATGCGCTGAGATTCCCGGGATCRCCAAGAGCGGCGGCGCGCGCGCCTACCTCGGGGATGCGCACGCTGTAGGGCTGGTTGTGGAACTGCGGGGCGTTGTCGTTGACGTCTCCCACCTGGATGTTGACGGTGCCCTTGATCACCTGCGGCCACAAGGAGGAGCGAGGACAGTGAGCAGGAGCTCCCCAAGGGAGCTTGGGGCCCGATGTTAGCTCAGAGGGAGCTATTGCCCAGGGTGGCCCCCCAGCTGCCCCCCAGCACCCAAGTGTGGTTCTCATGGGATGCTAGGCAAGAGGTCCCACTTACCCCTTCACTGTCGCTGACGGAAAACTCAACCGTGAACTCCGACTTGGTCTGCAAGCGAAGAGGAGAAGACGCATGAGCAAAGGGGCACCCAAGCCCATGCACCATCCTCCTCAGCTGAAGGTGACAGCCACGATGAGCGTTAGGAAAGGCAGGCACTTGGATAAGCGACTTAGGACTCACATCATCACATCCCAGTGGAATAGGGGTTCAAAGGGGCAGTTCCTGGCTCCCTGCTCCTTGGCGACTCATTTGGGTTCATTATTTGCTCTACCACTCCACCCACCGGGGTTATTCTGCTTTTTTTCCCCACCCCCCAGCTTGGATGCTGCCCGCAGCAAGGGCCAGGACCTCTCTGTCCAAGGGCTGCCGCAGCCAGACCACGCCGGTGACGCTCTCCACCGCAAAGAACCTGCTGGCCTCCTCCCCGACCACGCCGAACACCAGGGGGTCGTTGTCCAGGTCCCGGGCCAGGAGCTGCGTCACTGAGGAACCTGYGAGGAGGAAAGAAGGGAAACGTCAGCCCGAGCGTTGAGGTGCACGTGCCAGCACATGCCCTATCTGCTGCTTCAGCTCTGCACCATGAGTAGAGGTGCCACCCACCTGTTGATGTTGAGATCCATCAACGCCACTCCAATGATCAACCTCATCGGAGGGCTTATGTCAACACTCAGTTCCAGAGGTGCCACTTCAATGCTCAGACCCACCAGGGGTGTCACCCCAATGCTGAAGCCCACCAGAGGTGCCATGCCACCCCAATGCTGAACCCCATCACGTTGCAAGAGGCTCGTTTGCTGTACAGTTATAGATAGGCTAAGAACAGCAGGGAAGAGGCACCACATCTACCATGCTCAAGAACACACTCGGAGAGCAGGACGGGCAGAGGAGAGGTCCAAGAGCAGAGGTGGCTTCAGGCACCCTCATCCCTGCAACGTGTGTACCCGGGTGCAAATTACAGCTGGTAGGAGGTCACGAGAGGCTGCACAACCCAATAAGGCATCTCCTGTCCCCACAACCGCTGTCTGCAAAAGACAAGGGTCAGCTGATATCTTAATACTTCATTTGTCTTGGAGTATCAAGGAAGTCGCAGCAGACTAAAGGCACTAATATTGTGGCAGTGCTGGGAAAGCAAGCAGAATGACCCGGGCAATTATACACCGGTTAGCCTGACATCAATCACGAGAAAAATAATGGAAAAGCTGATACAAGATTCCATTAATAAAGAATTAAATGATAGGAATATAATTAATGCCAGTCAACATGATTTTATGGAAAATAGGCCTTGTCAAACAAACCTGATTTCGTTCTTTGATGAGATTACAATTTTGGCAGATAAAGGTAACGGCAAAGAAGTAATAGACTTTTGTAGGGCGTTTGACGTAGCACTGCCTGACTTTCTGATTAAAAATTTAGCACGGTACAATATCAATAAAACGCGCTTGAATTAAGACGTGGCAGAAGGACAGATGGAAGGAGTCCCCAAGATGGCTCCAGTGGAACAACGTGTCTGCAGCCACAGCAGTCCAAGCCACAACCAGCTCAGGAGGCCACCTGAGGCACCTGGGAAGTTTCCAACAAAACCCGAGTTGGAGCAATTTTGAGCCAGCGACCCGGGCGAAGCAACAGGGACAGATTAGCCCTTTGCAGCGCAAACTTATAGGCTCCATTTGTTTCCCCTCGGGAATCAGACAGGGCAGTTAAGTGTCCTGATTCCGCCGGATAATCATCATTTATCTTGTCTCCTTTTGCTTCCTTTCCCTCAATCACGGCTCCTTCTTTCTCCTTCGCGCGCCTACGTGGATTTTCTTCTTTCTCCAAGTCCTGAACTTTGACTGACCTCAGGCTTCTTATTTTTTTTCTCTTTCCCCTTCTTGCTTTCTTCCTGCTAGGAATTTCTGCTTTGCCTTTCAGGAGGTTTTAGGAGTCTTAAGCTCCAGCTCCTGTCTCAGCACAAACCTGCATATTCCTAGCACAGAAACGAGGCAAACCTACACACACGAAAAAAGGCCCTTCCGTGACGTTTTCCCAGAGGTTTTCTCTGGAAGAAGAGCCGAAATGCCAATGTTTCCGTGCCGTCGAGCAATGCGGCGGCCCGCCACCTCCACGCAACGCGCGGAGGGACAGCAAGCGTCTTGTGAGGACAACGCCGCGAGCGGAGGCCGCCGCGTGCCGAGGATGCTCCCGTGCTCGAGCACAGCAGCGATCCGAGCTCGGAAAAGGCCTGGAACTGCCGTGGATTTGTTCCTAGGGAAAGGCTACATTCGCATGAGAGGGGACCAAACGCAACTGCATCCTCAAAGGATGAGGCAACAGGAGAAACCCCATAAAAGAAGGGGTCCAAGCTTGTTCACATATGGAATAAGGAATACGGAATATGGGAAAAAGACTCTCCCACACTAAAAAACACCTCTTAAAAAATAATTTCCTTTCCATGCTGCCTGGGAGCCTCATAATTACTGCCAATGATCACAGACCCATTCACTTTGCCCTAAAATTAATACATCACATTTGGAACAGTATCACCTTAATTTATCACAAGATTTATGAAACCGGGACTTTTTTTTTTTTTTTCTAATGAGATTTATGCAAATTCTGCCTCTGATGGTGTTTGCACCACAAGAAAGTTTCACTGTTGAAGAGACGATGCCAGACGGTCCTGTTCGCTTTTACCGATACCTGTCCTTTTTTGGGGCATCTTGTGGTAGGTCCAGGGGCCATGAGCACCTCGCATCCTACCCTTGGCAAATGAGTCCAAAGCCACTAGCTCCTCCAGGAATACCTGGCTAATGCAGTCTTGATTAACACTTCTGACACAAAGTTTAAACCCTAAATCCAGGGAATATCCTTTTCTAATTAATTTTTCGAAATATGGGAGAAACGGCCTGGAAAGAATATTTCCTTTGTTCCTTCCTACATTTTTTTTTCCCATCTCCCCCCTTTCTTCAAGAAGAAAAGATTCAGGTTTCAGAATTTCCATAATTTAACAATCRTAAGGCCAGAGGAAGCTTTAACACAGGTACCAGCAGGGAAGAAAAGCACCATCCAGTTCTCCTTTGTGTGAATATTGTCCCCCATTAAGGGCAGGAAAATAAGTTGTCAGTGATGGGGAGAACTTTACCATCTCAACCAGGGACCCTGGCCTAACTCCCACCAGCTCCAGCCCCTTGGACAAGCTGCAGCCCAAGGCAGGAGAAGCGTTTGCACCGTGTTAAGTGAAAGCTTGAGCTTAGCAAGCTGAATCTCAGCCCTGGGAGAGAGTTTTTTGGGAAAAACTCCTTTGCAGCAATCCGGGGATGATTGCTCCTTGCTGCAAACTGCAGAATAACATGAGTTTTGGGTGGAGGGCTTTCCCTAGTGACCATACTGCCAGTAATGGCAGTGGGAACCAGCTGCATGGTGCTCCTCTCTCCTCCCTGCACCACAAGATGCAAGAGTAGGAAGGAGATGGGAAGACAGAGCAGCCCTCCAGCTTGCTAAATACCAGGGCAAGCAGAAGAGAAGCAGGTCCCAAAAGTTCAATTAATGAGGCGCCTTGCTACCTGGTGCAAGTAAATGATTTATGAGTAAGATGACACACGTGTATCCTGCCCGGCCAAGGTAGCGTAGCCTCGTGTTAATTAGAGGAGAGAGGCTGCTCTCCAATTAATATGAGGTCAGACACGAAAGCGTGTTAGATGGCAATACCTATAGTGTCAGGATTGTTCTGGCGTGGAGCAGGATCGTAAGGATGAGGCCAAAGGAGTCATGCAAGAGCATCCCCAACATGCCCTTCTGCTCCGAGCAGGGAGGGAACTGCCACCTCCAAAACTCCCCGGACGTTTCCTGCACCAAAACCCACGGGGCTCATCAGCACTGCAGTCTCCAGGCAGCGCTTGCTTGCTGTAATACAACAAGCAACCGCATCAACAAGCGGGGAAGGAGAAAGATCTCRGAGAAATGCTGTTGACCAGCCAACCAGGATCCCTGTCTATGGGCTTTGAATCCATAAGCAGAGTGGCCTTAGGCTGTCACCGTAACTCTCTGGGGCTTCAAAACTTGTGTCGGGTGAGTGACTGCCCCCCGTTATAATGAAGATGCAATGGGCACCCTGCCTGATTTATCCCTCTGGAGCTGTGGTAGCCCTGCTCCATCTCCAAGCTACAACTGCAGTAAGAGCAGGACTCAAAAGGAGGATGGAAGCTGGCAGGATATGGATGCCCAAGAAGGCTGAGTTTGGTTGAGCTTCATCCCCAGCCTTGGCAGGTGGTGCCTGGGTATCTGGGGCGCGAGCTTATCTGTGTCCCTGCCACCGCGCTGCAGTAAATTGCTTCTTGATAAATGAGGCTATTTAGGAGCAAGTGATGCCGGCATTACGGTTATTAATGACGGCGACGTGGGGAGACGTTTAAGAGCGGCCTCGCGCTCYATTGTCCCCTCACGTGTGAGTAATGGGCCGGTTCACTTGCAGGACTCGAGACCCAGCTCGGGTGGCTGAACTGCAGCAGCAGAGCAAGGCGGAGGGGAACGGATGGGCCGACGAGGCCGATGAGCAGGTGAAGCTCATCCTGTGGATGGAGCCGGGCAGAGCTCCAGGTGCGGCGTGACGTGAAGCCTGCAGCTCTCTGCCTCTTCCAGCCACCTCCGCGAGCTCCCAACAGCCACCATGCGACGTGCACCACGTCGCTCCTCCCTGCCGCAGCCCCATCTAGCATGCCTGCCCCCCCAAAAATGGAAAAGCCCAGCCTAAAGAGCCAAGGCGAGAAGATGAAGGGGCCCAGCTGTGCTTGCACTGCACGGTCGCTGGTGGGAGAACAAGGCAGAGCGTGCAGCTGTAAGCTTGTTTCCGAGCTAATATCCCCACGAGTGTTTTTCCTCTGCCAAGGAAGCACACTCTTTTGCAAGCAAACATCTGGAGATCCCTATTACAGCTGGACAATTATCCCCGGTGACTAAAGCGCTCAATTAATTTAGCCTTTCTCGCTCGCAAATAGAGTTCAGCTTGCAGGAATTTATTTGTTGCTCGAATCTATTCGGCAACCGGCTTATTAAAAGCGTATTTCAGGGAGGGTTTTCTGGCTAAACGCTCCCGTGGCTGCTGGCGATGGGCGCTTTGCAGCGGGGAGGTGGTGGCGGCAGGCGCGCGGGAGCGCCGCTGCATCCCGATGAAGCGCTGCCGCGAGCATCTGCAAAGAGCCTCCGCGCAGACACCTGCGCAGAAGCACGGCCTCGCGCCAAGCCAGAGCCCGCAGCCTCTCCAGACTGCCCTAAAAATGCAAAGTGCCTTGCTTGGAGGCTCTTACAACAGGAAGAGAAYGGAGGAAAACTGCAGATTTAACCAACTTTGCTCAAAGCACCGTTGAGGACATGTCTCGGTAGCTTCGAGAACACCTTGCAAACACCACCATGATTCCTTCATCAGAAGGAACATTTTTTTCCCCCCCCTATCTTCAGGGAATCCCTGCTGCAGGATATCTCAGAGCAAGACAAGGTTGGTGTGGGAAGAAGCAACGCTTGG